CCCCCCACCCCGCCCACCCCCCGCGCAGGCGCAGACGCAGCGTAGGGCTAAGGGGTGAAGGGGGTTAGGCTGGTCAAGATTGTGCAACACTCGGCCCGCACAACCCCCCTGTGCGGGGCGTGTATCAAACTAGGCTTGCATAGGTATGGCACAGGCTTGTGAAGAGTTGTGCAACACTCAGCGGAAGGCCCGCAGGGGCGTGTATCAAACTAGGCTTGCAGGGTGGTTATTACATTGCACATGTGAGATATACGCCCCGCACAGGGGGGTTGCCCCCCCTGTGCGGGCCTTCCGCTGAGTGTTGCACAACTCTTCACAAGCCTGTGCCATACCTATGCAAGCCTAGTTTGATACACGCCCCGCACAGGGGGGTTGTGCGGGCCGAGTGTTGCACAATCTTGACCAGCCTAACCCCCTTCACCCCTTAGCCCTACGCTGCGTCTGCGCCTGCGCGGGGGGTGGGCGGGGTGGGGGGGATGTAGAGACCTTCTGTCTCTACATAGTGGCAAGCCGACCGCGGTGCGCGGGAGGACGCTTGCCCTAGGTTAGCCAATAAAGTAGGTTCGAATTCTGGCGCGCAGGTAAAGCGCGGGGCAACCCTGCCCGCTGCAGTTGGCAGCACCGTGCCCGCCAAGGAGACGGGTATTGTCTCCAGGCGCGGCGTCTGAGCGGAGGTGCAGGTGCCCAGGATAAAAGACGCCTGCACCCCTTACTCGTGGTCATTCTGGCACAGGCATCGGCCGCCGAAGGCTCTGCCGGTTAGTGGCTAGGAACTATAGGGTCTGACCCAGGAGTCTTGCTTTGAGTCTCATTAAATCTAAAGACTTAACGCTATTACTTGCATTGGTTTCTCCATATACTCGCTGAACCCAGTAACGCCTCTAACGCTACCTGACTGCTTGATGTGCGCGGCCTAACGGCCTGTGGGCTCGGCGGTCCATCGCTAGGACTCTGCTTACGGACGGCCTCGGCGCCTAGCCTGATGGTCTCGGCGGAGTCCTTCTAAAATACTATCGTCTTTTCACCTCGTCATACTGGCCTGGGTTAATTGCCATGATCATGTGTATGTATATGGGATTGTGCGGATCATAGTTCAATCGCACTATACATACTACTGATAGCGTCCGGGCCGGCGTGCACGATTCCGGTCGAACGGGTGGACCTGCAACAGTGAAAAAAGGGGCCATTTATACTTTTAAAAGATGCCTCTATGGCGTGACGAGGGCATTTTAAAAAAATGTTTCGGCATGAAAAATTGGGTTGAAAATTGACAACGTTTTCCTCAATTCGAATACCTTAGCTGTGGCTATCGAAAATCGCCCTCTTCATTCTAGAGGCATCTTTTAAAAGTAAATGACAATTTTGTGTTCAGTGTCGCTGGTCCATCCGTTCGGCTGGAAAAGTGCTCGTGCACGCCTCAAAGAAAAGTACCCATCTTTTTCTAGGCAAAGAAGACCATGGTCACGAAAGAGAACACAACTTTCGCGTCTACGTCAAATTGTAGTTTAATTTAATACCAATTAGAAGGTGTTTCGTTCATGTGACCGCGATTGTTAGTTTTCTCAAAACAAATGATCTCCCGAACCTGTGCATTACAGTATTCGGCAGGTCTGTGTAGATTTGGTGTGGGACTTATCCAGAGATCACACGAGGTTCGACTTCAACAACGACAGTTTATTCTTACTTCAACTGACAACGACACAACGACTACAGAGATTCCACGATGACTGACATTTAGGTTGAACTCCACTTGACAGGTAAACAATATCAAGAACAACAAGAATAACAATTTTAGCGGGGAATGCAAGCAGGGCTACCAACATAGATAAATCTTACACAGATATCAACAGTCTGCCCCCTTTAACCTTAACGTAACCGTGTGCTGTTCGAAGGGCTGCGACGCCACCGCCAGAGACGTTGATGGCATGACGCCCCTCCACTACACCGCCCAGCACTCGTACGCGGACGAGAGCGTCCGGCTGCTCATCCAGGCAGGCGGCGAGGTGGCGGCCAGGGCCAAGGACGGCTGCACGCCGCTCCACTTGGCGGCCAAGGCCCGCGGCTCCTCCGAAGACAAGGTCGTGAGGGT